TTTCTTTTTTTCTCGCTACAAAAGCAACATGTAAGACAAGATCCTGAGATCCGTGGGGATGTTTTTTCATTGTACAGAGGGTTTTTTTTAACAACAAAAAGCTTGTGCGACGTGGATGTTTTTTCATCGTACTGGGTTTTTTGCAACAACAAAAAGCTTGTGTAACATGTGCAGCATGGGAGAGTGGGGTGCCCAACAGAGGCATATTAAGGACAATATAACCGCACCTAATCTCTGTCCTCAAGCGATTTGAATTTTCGGCCATCCATTTTGCTGATTTGGTCATCTCTGGCCGTTAGATATGTTGTCCTAAGGGGTTGCTGCTCCGGAGGAAAAAACCGAGTCCTCTGGTGAACTGGGCTGGACAGCCCATTTATCTAACCTAGCACAAACAGCCCAGTAGGGTAGTCGTTGCGCTCCCGTCTCTGGAAAGGAAAGGAAAACTCTTCGATCCTGGGAGGAACTAAGGCCCTCTTTGATTTGCAGGATTTTCAAAACGTGGGAATAGGGAAAATACAGGATTTGAGTGGCATGTCCACTTGAATCCTATAGGATTAGCATAGAGTGTTTGACGCTACAGGAAAAACAAAGGAATTGAAAAAAGAGGTTGGAGTGGATGCTAGATTTTCAATGAAATGTAGTACACTTGATTCCATAGAAAAAAATCCTATAGGATTCAATCATGTGAATCAAACGACAAATGTAGGAAAAATCCTAAGGATTCTAACCCTCCAAAAGTCCCATGGAATTCCTTTGAATCAAAGGAGCCCTAATCGGGGTTGCGGGCGTCGCCGCCGCCGCACTGTCTTCCCGTCTTCTGATTGGATCCAGCCAAAGCGCGCGGGATCCTCCCCTTCCCTTTACCCCGGCGAGGCAGCCAGGGAGATAGCAAAGAGGTTTGAGAGGACGGAGAGATCCTCTCCCCGCATGGCGATGGTGGGCATGAGGCGACACCTCCAGTTTCGGCAACACTCAGACCTCTTCCTCATCTAGGCGCGCCATCGCGATCTGTAGAACGAAGCCCATGCCGAACACCAGTTGTAGGATGAAGGGATTGTTGACGGAATGGATCGTGGTGCGCACTTGCGCTACAGAGGGATTGTTCATCTTCCTGGAGAAACTTCTATCTTGTTAGTGTTTGAGCCGGTTTGTTTAATTATCTTTTCTTTTCCTATCCATTCTTCTTTGTGTCCTTTGTAGTAGGGAGGTCACCTTGTGCTATTGAAGGATACTGAGAAGATTTTTTTTCTTCGAGAGAACGATACTGAGGAGATATTTGATTCTAATTGGTCTAATTGTTGTCGGTGTTCCCACTCATGATAACTCCCGCATCCCTGATGAATTAAGCATGGAAGGATGGAAAATCTGGAGGAAGGCCATAGTATTGCAGAGTTCCAGTCAGAACCTTGTTTTATTATTCGTTTTTTGTAGATTGGATTCAACTACATTGAGACAGCACATCATCCGTGGCACAATAACAAATGGCACCAGAGGGTTCCCACCTTGATGATTTTTGTGTGTAACCAATCTAAATATTTAAGTGTTGTTATTGGCAAAATGAAGGCAAGTCATCCATAACTTTGAATTATTCAATTTCTGATATCTTCACGCTTCCTTGTTTCCTGCTATTTGTATGTAACCTTACAAAATTAGGATTTGGGAGAGATTTCATTTGCCCGTGATGGTAGTTGCTATTTTTTCAGGTTTGAGAGGAGCCATTTGTGTGCAACAGTTGCTATTAGTATTTGAATTCGCATATAGATCTGAGAGTTGTGCCATGGTTGTCATTTTCGGAGGGCAAGTTTGTTTAACTTGATATGCGCATGGAGCCATCCTTGGGGACAATGGGGAGCCAGTCAACCTGGTCGAGCGCATTGTTGGTAGGCTCGGGGTTATCTCGGGCATGGTCGACCGCCTCAAGGCCTTCAAGGGCTCCATCGACCTCCATTCAGGTATTATTCATTACCATGATCTAACCCTATGTCATTTACGAGATACCTGTTAAGCTATGGGAACACAATGATAGTCTTGTAACTTCTGCTTTGGCGTTACCTTGATTTTTGATACTTTATGTAAGTCTATATGTATAGGCGCAGCTCTAAGTAGGACAAGGTTGGGCGCTCGCCCTACCTTGATTTCCAGCTACTTTGTTTTACCTATGCAAGTCAGATTGATCGCCAAACAAATCCTGCGAAACAAAACCCTGTTTTATTGGGCCGCAAGCACTGCCATTTTATTGGGCCGTATCTAAGTAGCCACCGATCATGACCCCAGTCCACGGACGTTTGATTTCCTTTGTTCGTTTGTCCGCGTTCCAATTCACACGGGTCGACACAAACTGACGACAATGAACCCCTAGCAGGAATGGCGTAGGGATAGCGGCCAGCAGCGGCGTGGGAGGTCGTCGGCCAGTAGGAGCGTGACAAGCTGAGGTGGCCCTTCCCGTTCATATACCGTATGATATAGATCAGCAAGCGGCCAGTGACTCGAACGCTTTCTTATTCCCACAGGTTTGTAAAGTGTCCCTTTTTTTTACGGGTGTAAAGTGTCCCTTTTTTGTTTGTGCATAGAATTGATCCGCTCGAAATGTTTTACGACTTAATATTGTAAAATTAGCGACGATTCTTTTCTATTGTGCCATGCAACTTCCTGACTTTATTAATTTGTCACATTTCACTGTGCATATGTAACTCTTTTACATGGAAAAACTATTTGTGTGCATTTTAGTTTGTATTGGCTACTTCAGCTTTGCATCAAAAACAAATTATGCTTTCGTGTCCGCCCCACCTCAGTTATTTTCCATCCTCTGCCACTGTATATATTTGATTATTTTCAATATACGATAATTAGTTTCACTCGATCATACCATATGATGTTGCAAGATTGACAAATTTTACATGCTCCTATGTATGGCTTGGAGCGTTTCAGTTTTTCTTAGTACACTTTCCCTGTTTTTAGGAAGCACCACATAAATAGAACCCCAAGATAGCAGTACGAGTATTTCACAGGGTTCGTGTGTTGTACCTAATAAGTTAAAATATCAACATTAATGTCAATTCTCTTAACATATACGCATTATTTTAGGAGATTCATGCTAATTTTCAGATCCTGTGGTCACAAAAGCATTGATCCAAAATCATAATATTTGGCTACTCAAAGCGGGGGTGTTATCAGCTGACCCAAGACCTATCCTGGCCATTAAAGGAACAATTGTATCATTGTTGCAGCAACTTCTGCGAAATTTCCACATGCCTAGGGTGCTTGGCGAACTAAATCTCTGCATATAAACATAGTCTGTCATGCTTGATTTGGTGGTAGGAGAAAGAGATGAAATATTTGTGTTAGTGCTATCATGTTCAGAAGTCTCTCCTTCTGTCTTTTTTACTTTGATAAATATTCGATGTTTATTGTCCTAGAGCTTGTAATGGTGTGGCTGGCGCACTAGCTAGCTAGGACTGGTGCTGCCCAGGAACATGTAAGCCTATGTAGCTGTCAATTTGTCTAGGTCGTCCCTTAGTGAAAAATGTTATATCTCAGTAATGTGTTGCTTATGCAATTATTGGTGGTAAATCATGGGCTTGGGTTATAAGAAATCCTATATTATGTAACTCGGCTAATCCACCAAGAACTAAAGAGAATGCCCACAACATGTACAATGGACTAAATCAGCTCAAAAAATTACTAATACAGTATATACACATTAGTTCATGTCAATTTTAAAACAAACTAAATCTCAACATGTATTAGTATCAATCCCTAACATTGGAGCGCTCAAATAGACGGGCGCAGCAATGCGCGCCATCAATGATCTAGTTCTATATTATTTTTCATTTTTCAAGTTCTTTCTCCACTGCATGAAGAAACATCCTAATACGAGATCCCTGTGGGAGACGTTTTTTCTCCTTGGATGTTTTTTCTGTGTGAAAAAACTTGTGCGGAAGTTGCATGTCCATTCTCAATTCACAACTGTAAACGTTGTAATTCAGCTGCAACTAAGGGAAGAAGGCAAGTGTTTGTCCTTGTTGTGCGCCGCCCAAAGGCCCACTTGCGCATAAATGCAATCAAAGTAATTCTTGTTATATCAATTTTTTATTAAGTTGAAAAGGTCGTCCTAAGTTGAGTTTTTTCCTTTGAAAATATTGCTAGCTTACTTTTATTTTCATTAAATGATCATAGTCATTCCAGACACAAATAACTAAAAACCGTTTCATCACCTATCATTTAACCCTTTCTAATTTTATTTTATTTTTTTATTGTGCTTTTTTTTGTTTGTTTTAGCACTCGTGGCCTACTGTTTATATTCTAGCATTATACCATTTCTGCTGGTTTGCAGAGAACAAGACCATCATTCACCTTTTCTAATTTTATTTTATTTTATTGTACTTTTTTGCTTGTGTTTTAGCACTCATTGCCTGCTGTTTATATTCTAGCATTATACCATTTCTGCAGGTTTGCAGAGAACAAGGCCATCATTCACCCTTTCTCATTTTATTTTCACTAGCAATATCCGTCCCACTACTTCTAGCGTTCTATAACTTCTAGTTTTTTTATTTTTGCATTTTAGCCTGTGTCTACTGGTTTGTGTAACACTACCATTTCTCTTTCTTGGTCACGTGGGAAGGCATGTTCCCTTTTCCATAACTAGGCTTTCTTTTTGTTCTATATCGCTCCTTTTTTTCCTTTAAATATTTCTGCAAAAACAAAAAAGAAAAGAGATAAAAAAATCAACACAAACCAGCCCAAGTCAGTCAAGCCCATCATAGAAAACAACATACAAAGGACAACCGAGGCCGCAAACAAGCCCAGCAAGCAAACATCACAAAACGAGCGACCAGAAATAGCGACAAAAAACAATTAATATAATGCACCGCAGACAACAATATTATTTTTTCTCTCAATAATTATGACATATACTATTTGACTTAGCTCACGACTTTGTTAATCTGATTTTCCTCAAAGATATTGATTTATTAGTTGTGTACAACAGGTGGGTCGACTAATTAAGCGCCCATGTTACTCATGACCGGAGGGTCTCTATAGCAACAACACTGAATCGCGGGATACGGTTTTAGTGGGCCATGCTCCGGCTCACAGGAACCTTTCAGATTCTTTCCAGGAACATTGTCCGCGCATGTCTTCTGACACTCATCTGGGAAGCAGTTCTGGTGTGGCTCGAAACATCCAACTGCACACAGAGGCAAACAAAAAAAATACTCCAACTAATTAATTCGTGTTGGATAATTACGTGTACAAAAATATATACATCTTGTGAAAAACTGACAGACGCTAGTTATTAAGAGAAAGTACGTACGTACCATAGACTGAACCTGCCGAGGAGAGATGAAGGGTCGCCATGAGCATGAGAGCCCCCAAGCACACGGCAACAACGCTGTTCTTGGTAAAGACTGCCATGAGGACCCAAAAATCTTGATGCAGTGGGCATGCTCACCCTTCGTTGCGTTTATATATAGACCCAAATAGCTAGGCGGAGATCACGGAGTACCAAATAGTTAATGCATTAATTATCGTACAATTAGATAAGAATGGTGGGAATTATCTCGTATTAAACGCATTAATTGTGCGTAAATTAGTATAGGCCTTATCTGGTGCATCAATTTTACTACTATTTGATTTACACGCCAAATATGGTGAATGTACAATTTGTTATCTCGTGTTGGAGCAAATTATTCTTGACTTGCATTCGAGTCCAATATTAACTGCTTTTTTTTAACATAGTACAAAGTACAAACACATGCGCTCTTATAGACACACCTATATGAATGCAAGCACACACACCCCAACCCCTATGAACACCTCTGAGATACCGAGCCGACACATCATCTTGAGATTCATCAAATCACCATAGACACCTCCGTTGTTGACGAGAGTTTATACGGCCGTTAGGTTCTGATATACTTCGGTTTCTTTCATGCACTTTTCTAGGGAGGCAAACTGTGTCTGTCAAGAGCTAGCTAGGTCCGCGGTTTCGATCTCATGAGCCGCCAATCATCAGTTGTAGAGCATCTACAGGCGGGTGCCCCAAACCGGCCTCAAACGCCCCGGAGGATGGCCTGGTAAAAAAAGCACCCGCCGAAGACGGCTCCTCATACCGGCCCTAAACGCCATGTCAGACCAGACAACCAAAGCCCACCAGAAATTCACAGCTAATCTCCCAAGTCCACAAAACCCACCACCCTCCTCCTCGGCAAGAGCGGCGATGGCAACATTGGAAGCCGAGGCAAGGACGCAGGCAGAGCATGCGATAAGGATGTAGGCGGAGCAGGAGCCAAGGGATGGTCGTGGAGCACGCGACATGGATGGCGCCTGGTGAGTGATCCGGCCAGCGAGTGCTCTGTCACGCTCGGACTTCAATTTTATTTTGGGATGTACGGATTGTTGAAACATGATTCTTTTTTTTGCTTTGTGCATTGTCGAACTGTTGAATTGTGATGAATGTTTGTGCTATTATCTATGTGCATGAATTGCATGGATTTGGCGATCCACAATCGAGTTGTGCAGCTATCCGCGAGATGAAGGGTTGTCCATCGTTGTCTGTGGACACACGCGCGGGCGTATAGGGGGCAGATTTGCCAAGTCCGGCTATAGATGCTCTAAGGTGGATGGTGGACGATGTAACCGTTTTTTGATTTAAAAAAGTTATGAGACTTTGATAAGGATGTATCACAAAAAAGTTGGTCTCTCTTCTCCAAAAGCAACTATAAGATGAAACTTGAGACAGTGGCATAGATACTTTTTAAGGGATAAAGTCGTTCCACTTTATTAAACTTGAATGTTCATGGATATCATTGCATGATCATGAGGAACGCCAAGCCACAAATGTCGGCCTGCTGCAAGCGATAAAGCTGTACTAGCTAAAACAATGAGCCAATGCAATAGATGGATGGGGCTGATCCTATATGACGCGGAGGGCACCCCCCAGCTCCCTGCACGCGTTCTGGGGCGGCCGATGTGGGGCGCGAGGTCACCCAATATTTCTTTCTTTTCCCTTTTATGTTTCATTTTCTATTTTCAATTTTATTTCTTTTTATTTTTCATTTTTTCAATTTGCGAAAATATTTGAAATTAATATGTTTTAAAATATTGAACATTTTTTGAAATCATGAACATTTTTTAAATCCACGAACAATATTAGAAATCAAGAATATTTTATTGCAAATTCATGAACAGTTTTCGAAATCATGAACATTTTCTAAAAATCACGAACATTTTTCTTTGATATTCATATTTTTCTTTGAAATAGTTAAAATTTTCAAATTCGTGAGCTTTCCTTTAACCTGATTTTTTTTGAAATTGCAAAAGTGTATTTATGAAATCATGAACTTTTTTGAAACCTTGAACATTTTATATATTTGATGAAGAATTTTAAAATTAATTAAGGTTTATTATTTTGTGAACATGCTTTTGAAATCGTGAACATTTTCTGAAAATCATGAACACTTTTTTAAAAAGTCAACATTTTTCAATTTCGTGAACATTCTTTCCACCATGAACATATTTTTTAATTTCTAACAGTTTATTTTTGAAATCATGTACATGTTTTGAAAGAATAATTTTTTTAAAATTTGATAGAAAAATTATACATTTTGTAATTTGTGAACATGTTTTTGGAATCTTGAACATTATTTAAATTCATGAACATTTCTAAATTTTGTGAACATTTTTATGATTTCCTAATTTTTTGGGTCAAAATGCACATTTTTAAAATTTGTGGTACTTTTGTAATCGTGAATTAATGTTATAGAAAACACAAAAACCTAAATAAAAAAGCAAAAACAAAAATATTGAAAAAAATCCAAACCAAGGTGCCGATGGATGGATAGACAGATTGACTTGGTTTGGATTGAAGTCGGCGTTGGGTCAGACAAATCTCCAACGGGCTGACTAGTCAATCTCATCCTCATTCACAACATCCCTAAGAAAATCCTCATTCACAACAAAAGAAAAAAAACATGTGGGTTTCATATACCACACACACCTTTAATTCTAGTCATTATTTCACTCATCTTCCTCCTAGAAACCAGACGCAAAAAAAAAATCAGTTGTGGAGGCACGGTGGACCAAGCCAGAGCAAGGATGGGTGAAGCTTAATACAGACTGCTCCTTCGCCACGTCTGATGTGGCCGGAGCGGGTATGTTCCTGGGGCGTGGATTCTCTACCTTGCCATGGGCAAGGTAGAGAGCTACAGTACCCTGCCTTTGCCCCACAACCGTTGGATCGAGGGGGGGGGGGTCCAGATCGGGTGAAACACTGTAGCACGCGCACTGTTCGTCGGCACTGTTTGACGGATACTGTTTAAACTGTAGCACGGGTACTGTTCCATCAAATCTGGCTGGTCTGTTCGCGATCCAATGGACAAAAGAGGGGGAAGGCAGGGTTACTGTACCTCTCTACCTTGCCCAAGGTAGAGAATCTGCAGCCATGTTCCTGAGGAACTCTTCTGGTGACATTACTTTCTCAGCGTCCATAGCCTTTTCTTTAAGATCATATAGGGGTTTTATTTCAAAATTACAGGGTTACAATCGGGAGGCAATGCAATCGTCCTCACAACACGGAGGATATCTTCTTATCCACACCGTAGTACATGAATTGGTACGGCTATATTTTGCCATACAATATGCTCCCCTGTTTTGCGCTTTACTCATGTTCTGTGGAACAAACTACCTTTCATTCATCATCGACTTGATTTCTGCTACCAAGTGTCCATAAGCCAAACCAGACAAGCTATCACTTGTGAGGAAGAATCAGATTGCACCATTACTTGTTGCTCTACATAAGTGCACATATCTTCGCCTCCAATATCTCGTTACAATTAAAAATAACTCGATAAGCAGCAAGAATTACCGATCCGTCGTTGCGTCGGAAGACCATTCGAACACCTGCACTGCCATCCTAAGATGAGTAAGAGCCATCAACAGACAAGACCGTCCAGTTCGTCATAGGTACTGGCTAAGGAGTTGTAGGCACTGTGTGTTGTACAACTGGACTGCCTCCAGGTGGCATGCAGAGTCTTATACTCTTGCAAGGATGCATTGAAAGCGGAGCTTTGTGCTTGTATGGAGGGTTTATCTTTTTCTATGTTGGAATTTGGCCCTCATGATCGATCACATCAAACTGCGATGAACATGCGCACACAAAAACTGATAGCCAAGGGTCCTTATCGTGCCCTTTGTTTCTCTCTTTATTTTCTCTTTTCTCCCGGTTACTATAAACTCACACCTTAGGTTGTGCTTGTATACACGCACTACCAAATGAGCTAAGAGCATCTATAGCCGGACCTCTCAAACCCGCCTCATACGGATGGGCGGGCTGCCTGGTCGCAAAATTTTGATCCGGATGGGCGCCTCAAACGGCCCTCAAACGCCCGGGTGACTGGCACCCCCCACATCCAGCCCAAATATGGGGAGGATATGAGGGCGCCCGTGCACGTCCGTCACATCGGACATGGCCCACGCTGGCCCACCCGTCCCCACATATATTCCTCCCCATCCGCTCATCGGACCAAACCCTAGCCACTTCACCCCACTCTGGTCCACTCCCCTCTGCCAGCCAAGCTCATCTCCGGCGGTCTCCTGTCATCTCCGGCATGGCGGGCAGTGGATCCGACTCTGAATAGTCCGGATCCGTCGACTAGGGTGTCATCCCGTCTAGGTTGGAGGAGGCAATGGTTGTCCGCATTGCACTCCGCCGCACCCCGGGAGGACACCGCCCGGCCAACGGAAGGATCTGTCCGTCGTGACTCCATAGCATCGGCTCAACGGGCGCTCGGGTCCTCCGGGGCTGGATCACTGCGGTCCCAGCAGCTCGATAACCTCTCCTTCTCCATCACCGGTCGGGCATACTACAAGTCCCACCGGGAACGGGCGTCCGCCATGGGAAGGAGAGGATAAGGGTTGCTGAGGCCCGTATCGCGGCGGATATGGCGGCAGCGGCGGCGCAGGCGGAAGACACGGCGGTGCAGGCGGCCGCAAAGGAGTAAACGATCCGCGTCCGCATTGTGAATAAACGACAGCGGAGGAACACCCGCGCCCTCGCCCGAGAGCAAAATCGGACGGTCCATGCAATGGCCGGACTGCCACCAAAGGAAGATAAGGATGGCAACTAGGACAACTCCAGCAACGAGAAAATTCAAAAGGAAGATAAGGATGGCAACTAGGACAGCTCCAGCAACGAGAAAATTCAGTTTGATCCCTACTGCGCCTTCGACCGGTACTTCCGCGAAAAGGACGGCAAGAGCACCAGGAAGGGCAAGGGAAGCCATGGATGATCTCCACCATAGCCAAACATGCCAAATTTTGCTAGTCCGATGGCATATTTGGTTAGTAGAGATGGAGTAGCCGGACGATGTGTGTGCATCAACGTAGTTGCAGGAGTTTGTGTGAATTTAACATAT